GTATCTATGTATATAATATGTCTCTGAATAAGGGCACTTCAGGAAATTTCTCCCATGCCAATCCTTCTACTTTGTAACATGTCTGAAAACTTCTTGTTGAGCAACACAAGCTTAAAATGTTGACATGATATGTCCTATTTCATGGTATAGTTATTCATTGATACCACTGGGATCATAGTGTTCATGTAAAGAAGGTCATTTGATAAAAGTCTGGATTATTGACCATTTGGATTGAGTTGAATGTGCATTGTGCAGTATCATACATTTGTGTTTTAAACAACTACAGTGCTATCTTCCATGTGATTTAAAAAATAAACCAGATCATAACTTTTTTCTTGAGAAGAGGAAACAAAGAAGCACATTGGAATGGGACAAAGTTTATTATCTACCATTCTATATTATGCTGAACTCAAAGTGTAGGGAATTTCAGCATAAAAATTTGAATTTCATTGTCTATACTGCATTATATATACAATAAAAAAGCTTTAATGCTATGGCTTAACTACTTTCCCTTAATGCACCCCTTGTCAGGAGACTGTAAAATCCTTAAAGCATTTGCTTTTTCCTTGTAAAATAACTTCAATATTCTGGAAACATGTCTAATCCTGGCTTTATGATAAATATATTTGTGTTGAAATGCTGATGGAGTATAATACAATTTTTGGGAAACTTGATGTTAAAGAAGACTTTGTAATTTATACTATAAAAGGGGTCAAAAGAATCTTCCAACAACAAAGCGTTATAAAAAAAAAAAGGTTAAATAATAAAAACAAAACAAAACAAAACAGCACCTTTGGAAACAATGTTTACCAACTACACATAAATGCACTAAAGTGGTCTTCCGGCAACCATCACCTATATACTATAAATCTTCAAACTAGTGCCATCTAATGAAAAAGCACGCTCTTCAAAAGATAAGGCTCTCCCAGCCCCTCTTGAACAACCTTTTCCTATTCTTTCGGTTGAGTCATCCTAATTGCTAGAGTAATTAATAATCTAGTCAAAATATTAAATTGCATATACATACCTTGGTTTTTAGCAGTAGTTGATCTCTCCATGTTTAAACAAACAGCTTTGACAAGTACCTGCTGTGCTGCAATCAAAAGCCTAGAATCAGATTTGTTTAACAAAACACCGGTAGACTAAGGTTTTTTTAATGTGCAAAACTGTATATTACCAAAAATTGATCATAAATAACTATTTGGAAAAGGTAACCCTTTCCCTTGCTTATGGATGCTCTGAGAAAGAGCCTCCTGCCTCAACCTTAATCACAATTGTCCTTGGACACTTAGCTCAGCCACTTGTAGATGTTTTGGTTGCTAGGTAATTATTAGAATCAAGCAGTTGGACAATTCCATTTGAATGCACTGAACAACTCCAAGAAATCTAGTCATGAATTTAGTTTACATTAGTTTTAGGTGAAAATTTGATATATATGTAAAATTTATCGTGTGAAAGGCATGATCAAAATGTTTTGGGGGCATGAAAATGTTGCTCCTTCCTTTTTTACATGCTTTTGACTAGCTTCTAATTGCACATGTGATATTAATGGACTCAAGTATACCCTTGGGTCTGTGACTGGAAGAAAAATTAATTGATGTTAAATTCTAGTCTTGCGCCTCCCACAGAGCACCTGTGTTAAATTATGTAAAACCTTTGCTCAATGAAAACAATTCTCCCTTTTTGCTCCCAAAACAAAAATACGAAATGGTGTTTGGCCGAAAGAAGTTTCATTGAAAATCGTAAAAGGATAGAAATAATCGTTAGCTGAAACATATGCTATGAAACTACAAATCACACTAACTGCTACAACTATCATAACAGCAACCGACACGAATAAATCGTCTTGGTACAACTATTGAACTAACATGAAGCCAATGAATGACATCCTAGAATACAATCCAGTATAGCCGAAACCCTTGAACTAGGCCAGATCAATTATCCAGGGGCAGTCAACTATTTTAAATGGAATTTGAAATACTTGAATTAAAAAAAAAACCATTTACAGAGAAATGTAAAACCAATGAAACCAATGAAACTAGTCAAATGAATATTGGTAGATGCTGCAGCACTTATTATGCTATTGGTAAACAAAGGCATGTCACAGTGGACAAGCCCATTGTGTCACCATAAACCTCTGTAACAATACTAAAATTTCACTCAATCCTTTTTCTGGTCTTTAATTTGCAGGGCCTTCAAAGCCCGAGGAGGATATTGTCACAAAAGAGGTCCCTTAGCCAATCTTAGATAGTCAAGATTGCTTGGCGAAAATGTTTGAATGGAAATTATTGCAGAATGCTTGTGAACAAATGAAGCAAATAATTCTGTTTTCTGTAAATATTCTCTATGGAATCTTCGAATCTTACGTTTTCGTTGTATCTTTTCTCTCTTATTTCACCGCGTGGCATGCCTATGGGGCAGACCAAGGCGAAAATTCAGTTGGGTTTGTTTTTCAACGTGGTCACAATCGCAAAATCGACGGACACGATTCTGGAGAGTAGTATTCGTTACTTCCGGTCTTGCTAATCAGTAATTGACTAAATCTTTTCATGTTGATCGACTGAAAAAAAGGTTTTAGAGGTGGATTTGGAGACTGCTCTGATAGGGATTTTAACAACTGACTGAAAAAGATGCATTCCACCGAAAGAGGGATATTTCCAAGTGACCGTATATGTCCATACAACTTACTAGGTGATGTTCACTGCTGACCGAGTAGGTGGCCCTGCACAACTTATGGAGTGGTGTTTTTCATTTGACACAAACTGACCCAGTAATGACTATACAAGACTGCAGATCGATATAAAAGCAATTTCAAAGAGGAAGTTTTTGTCAAAGAACAGAGAAACATATATCAACATAAAAAATTACTTTTAAAACAAAGAACATGCTATGCGTTATTCATCTATTTGCGGGACTGAAAATCAACAATAGTGCTCTTCAAAATCCTTTTGGTCCATTTTTCAGTTTTTTGCTATCATGAAAACAAACCGAGCTAGATTTTTTAGCGTGGTCTACCCTGTGGGCATCCCATGTAGTTATATTGCATTGGTAAAACTTTTCCAGGTGATATGCTTGTCATGCACAGTTCTGTCAAATAACTTTTTCAATAGTTGTTTTCACTGTAACACCTAAATTACCGTTTATTTATGGTGAAAACTTGCTTTACTGAGATGGACCGGTGGAAACTTTGATAAAAATATACATTTTACTGAAAAAGCTTATTGATGGGCTGATACATTGTTGGTGGATATCATAAGGCCAGATGAGAAATGTAGAACTCTGGGTGTATTTTATAAGATGCTCAATCAAAATCTGTCTGCATGATTTCATAGTTTTTCGTGATCCAATGCTTTCAGGTATTTCTAAGGCTCTATTTGTATAGTTTTGGGTACCTGAGACAATCCTCCTCATCGAGACAACTTAAGGGAGTCTTTTTAAAAAGATGAAATTTGTAAAAGCTGTCCTCCCACCAGTCTCTCCGCTGACCTAAAGCACAAAGGTTCCAGAAACAATTGAGCTACATCATTTGGGCAGGCGAGCCAAAGTGTCTATATGTGAAAAAGCTTTACTATCCTAGATCTGATTACTTTAACTTTATTACAATGTATGTAACGTTTATATTAAAAGATCTAGCTTTTTAATCAGGATGCGCATCGTTGCACTCTTGAAAATTTTCATGAATGGGGCAATTCAGGTGGCGATCCAGGTGGCGATTCTAAGGGTCATCTCTAAAGACGACCCTGGGGCAATCCTAAGGGCAATCCAGAGGGCACTCCTGAGGGCACTCAAGGGCGATCCCGTTAGCCATCCTGAGGACAATCTCCATTCTAGGGATGATCCTTAGAGTGACGCTGGGCTGCCCTCGATGGTGATCTTGAAGGTGGCCTTAATGGTCATCCTAGATATGAAGCTGGGGACAATCGTTGGGGTGATCCTGAGGGTGATCCTAGGGGCGATCCTGGGAGCGATCCTAGGGGCGATCCTAAGGGCGATCCTGAGGGCAATCCTGAGGGTAATCCTGAGGGCGCTCCTAGGGCCGCTCCTGAGGGAACAATACGCCGAAAACGTCGATGACAACAGGGGAATATTATGGTGATCGTATCGGCAATTCTGGTGGTGACCCTGGTGGTTATTCTTGGGTTTGTCTCCAAGGGCAATGTTGGGGGGGATCCTAAGGTTCCTGAGAGTGATCCCAGGGACAATCCTGAGGGTAATCCTGAGGGTGATCCTGAGGGCAATCCTGAGGGAAATGTTGGGGGGGAACCTAAGGGTGTTCCTGAGAGTGATCCTGGGGGCGTTCCTCTGGGCAATCCCGAGGGCGATCCTGAGGGCAATGTTGGTGGGGGTCCTAAAGGTGTTCCTGAGAGTGATCCTGGGGGCAATCCTGAGGGTGATCCTGAGGGCAATCCTGAGGGAAATGTTGGGGGGGAACCTAAGGGTGTTCCTGAGAGTGATCCTGGGGGCGTTCCTCTGGGCAATCCCGAGGGCGATCCTGAGGGCAATGTTGGTGGGGGTCCTAAAGGTGTTCCTGAGAGTGATCCTGGGGGCGATCCTGGGGGCAATCCTGAGGGCGATCCTGAGGGTGATCCCAAGGGCGACCCTGAAGGCCGTGTTGTGGGGGATCCTAAGAGTGTTCCTGAAATTGATCTTGGGATCAATCCTGAGGACGCTCCTGACGACGATCCTAAGGCCAATCTTGAGGGCAATCTTGAGGGCGATTCTGAGGGCGATCCTGGGGGCGATCCTGAGGGTGATCCTAAGGGCAATCCTAAGGGGAATGTTGGGGATGATCCTATGGACGATCCTGAGGACGATCTTGCGGGAAATTCTGATGGCAACCTTGAGGGTGATCTTAAGGGCCATATTGAGGGGCGTGATTCTAAGAACGATCCTGCAAGCGATTCTGAGGCTGGTCTTGAATACGATTCTGAGGCCGTTCTTGAATATGATTCTGTGGTCGTTGGTGCACTAAACTCTCTTCTTCCAGACTTCACTTTACCTAGGTAGCTGTCGTAGTCGACGTCGATCAACGCTGACAATCCACGACGGTTTTCCAAAGTTTGCCTCAACCCTTTTAGGGTATGAGCAACTTCCAACACGATATCTCCAGTACCGCTGTCAATCAATGTTAGTAATTTCTCAGCTGATAAGTCATCTGGTGTAACTCTAACTTGTTGTTCAATATTTTGCTTCAATGCCAACCAATGGCGAATAATGGAGAAAACAGACTTATCTGTTGCTGATTCACCAGGTGATTGAGCTGCTTTCTTTAACAACTGAAATGTTGTGTTCATTGCCTTTTCGAGTTCTTGTGATGTCATTGTACCACGAATAACCTGCTGCACTAGGCGATGTATTCTCATGCATCCAACAGACTTTCTCTGGAAAAGTGAAAACTTGGTCAAAACTTGTACAATCTGGTCATTCCTGAGGGGGAGTTCTCTTTCAGCTACTACATCAGTAGCAAGCAGCTCTGCATTGATGAGTCTTTCATCGATTTCATCTGGATCAAGAAAAGCCGCAGCATGTACGAACCTGGTTGCAATTTCTCCATATCTTGAGTTCCTTACGTACTCAAAGTTCAATAGCCATGTCGTGTGGACTGAAAGACGATTCAAGGAGTCATACTCCCTCGAGGGATTTGCCCGATGCTCGCTTAGCAGCTTGAACCTTTCGAGCTTGTATTGTTTTAAATATTCATTAACAGTGCAGCCAAGAGATTTGATATGTGCACCAGCCTGCTCCAAGGCAAGGGGAAGACAACCAAGCTCAACAACCAGCTCATTTAGCGCATCCTCTTGGACTGCAGCATTTTCACTGTTGAAACGACTCAAAAGAAACTCTGTTGCTTCCTCAATAGAGAAAGAGGTGATTTCTACAAAACAATTTGGCTCAAGATCCATACACAGACAGATCTCTTTTCTTTCACGCCTTGTTGTTATCAACATGTGACCGTTTGACTCCCTTTTCCATATTCCTGTCAAAACTTTACGCATTTTTTCAGAAAGTATTGGCTGGTCGACGTTGTCAAGAACTATCAGCCAAAGCTTTTCCTGCTTAGATATAAGCGTTAGAATTCGTGCTAGTGTAAGATCTGATGATTTTTCCATCAGTCCTAAACGTATCGCTAAGTCATTCACACAGCTTTCAAACTTCTCTTCATCTTCCATGGAGAACCAAAATACGCCTCCCTCGTATTGTGATTTATGCTCCCAAGCGAATTGAGCTGCTAAGGTCGTTTTTCCACATCCGCCAAGACCACAAATGGCCGCCATTCTAAATTTCTGGTTGCTATTTTCTGAGAGGAGGCACCTTTCAAGGGATTCTAACTCTTTTTGTCTTCCTGTAAACCTCTTGTTTCGATCTGGCGCATCAAATACTATAGATTCATAATCTGCCATGGAAACACAGACTCCCCTTGAATGTAGATGTTCCCGAATGTTCGGCGGTGCTGGCGTTGTGGATTGCAACTTCTTGCCAGGCCTGTTTTCCAGCTCTGGTCCCATTAGTTCTTCTTCATCCTTGCCTTTAATGGCTTCACATAATATTGCCTGGACTTTGCTAAACTCACGCTCGAGCAGTGCACGTAACTGGTTTATATTGTTGTTCGTTTTCTCCAGCCAATCGGGCAATATTCCAGCGAGCGCTACAACTTCAGCGCGTATGACATAAAGGAAAGTGTCATCGAGTGGCTTACCAATACAGAAATCTAATCCTACCAAAAAAATGAACAAACAAGCAATTAGTGGGCTAGTAATGGACCAGTAATCTTCCACGTGGGCTAAAGACTAACATCACTTTCCATTAAAGGAAGCTGACCGAGGAGACCAGTTCAATGGAAAATTGAGTAATCCTCTGAGAGAAGGGTTGACCCAAATTACGGCACTAATAAGTGGATTGCAAGAATCAATCTAGAAAATCGCCACTGCAAAAAAGAGACAATCATGCAAATCAAGGCAAATGAAGGAACAAATCTTACAAATGACTCAGATATTCCGAGAGAGTGTAACTCCTTTTATAGTGATCTTTACACAACCAAAAGTACCAAAATAACAGAACATTTGGAAAGAACTTTTTTTGGCTATGAAGACCACAAACTCAACGAAATGGATAAGAAAAAATGCGAGGGTCTTTTAACCGAAAAAGAATGTCTAGAAGCTGTCAAGTCAATGGAATCTGGTAAATTGCCTGGTACAAACGGTCTCCCTGCCGAATTTTGTAAAGTTTTCTGGAAAGATGTTTCTCCTTTCCTTATCGGTTCCCTTAATAGAAGCTATCAAAAAGGAAAAGTAGCCATAACATCAGAGGAAGGGTATCATTTCTTTGATCCCGAAAAAAGACAAAGTATTAAAAGAATTGAAGAATTGAAGGCCCATAACCCTACTTAACTGCGATTACAAAATTGCATCAAAAGCGATCACTTCTCGTCTCAAGTTTGTGTTGTCGGATCTAATAGACCACGATCAGACCGGTTTTCTGAAAGGCCGTTCTATTGCAGAAAATGTTTGTTTGATCAATAATGTTATTTCCTATACCCACTTGAAAGATATTTCTGGATTACTCCTGTTCATCGACTTCGAAAAAGCATTTGATACTATTGAATGGACTTTCTTGCGAAAAACACTAGAGCATTTTGGTTTCTGTTCCTCTTTCATCAATTGAATTAATTTCTTTTACTCTGATATCCAAAGCTGCATAATAAATAATGGATGGTCGGGGAGTTTCTTAAGCTTAGGTAGAGGTGTAGACAAGGAGATAAAAGGAATCTCTGTGGGAAATATTGAGTGTATATTAAGTCAGTATACGGACGACACCACGATGATATTAGATGATTCACAAGCGTCACTTGAGAGGTCTTTTGCTTTGCTAGACAGTTTCGGTCAACTGTCTGGCCTGGGAGTTAACTGTGGAAAAACCGAAGTTCTCTGGATAGGATCAAAGAAAGGGTCAAATCAAATTATGTGCCCAGAAAAAAACTTGAAATGGGCGGATGGTAAAGTCAAAATGTTTGAATAAAGTGGTAAGTTTCTAAAGAAACTGTGGTGCTGCGTCGGTGGGAGAGTATAGCAGGCAATTAAGTGTCAACAACTGAGTTGAAAACGTAAATTAGCCACCGTAAAGGGTAAAAAAGCTGACGTTTCGAGCGTTAGCCCTTTGTCAGAGCTATTGATAATCTGAGGAAGGGTTAACGCTCGAAACGTCAGCTTTTTTACCCTTTACGGTGGCTAATTTACCTTTTCAACTCAGTTGTTAACACTAAATTACCTGCTTTAGATGTTTAGTTTTGTGCGGACCAAAATGAAGAAATGAAAATTAACAATGAAGACAAGGTTCACAAAGTTGAAGACATTCTTAAAAATTGGCAAAACAAGAGATTAGCGCTTCCTGGAAAGATCACAATTATAAAGACGTGGCTGTATCCCAGTTGGTCTACATTTTGTCCTCATTACGTACACATTTTAAATCGTTAAAAGAAATAAATGATTTGTTTTCAAGTTTCTCTGGGATGGAAAAGGGGACAAAATCAAACGGTCTGAAATGATTTCTGACTATGGCGATGATGGTCAAAAAATGTTGGACATCATGGCAATCAATAAGTCTTTAAATATCGCTTGGATAGTAAAGTATATTTCTGATGATTGCAAATCCAAATGGAGAAATTTTTGGGATTTCTTTCTTTCAAAATGGGGAGGAAAATTAGTTTTTCTCGGGAACTTGGAATAAAAAGACGCTACCAAACATGATATCAAGGAAGAGTTCCTCCCAGAACTTATCGAATTCTGGGTGGACTTTAATTTTAGAGACTCTTTCCTCTCTGAACACGACTTTTGTAGTAGTAGTATAATATGGAATAACTCATTAGTCCGAATTGCAAATAGGCCATTTTTTACAAGCACTGGGCGGAAGCTGGTGTACAAAATATCAAAAATCTTGTTAACGATGATTTTAAGGTCATAACTTATGGAGAGTTTAGAGAGAAATATTGCTTATATGCCTCTTTCCTTGAATTTTATGGAGGGACCTCGGCCATAAGGAGTGCTATGAAGTCTTTGAAATTGAAAACGCCATATGGAAAGGATCAGGGGTTTTCGATGCAAAAACTGATTGCAGCAACCAAGCCGACTTAATTAGCTTATAGAATTCTAATACAAAAAATTCTACTAGGCCCCGAAAGAGTCAAGACAAAATGGGTAAGGGACTGTGATCTTGAAGTGGTGGAGGATTTGAGCTGGAGGTCGATTTATTTACTACCAAGGTTGTGTACGTTCAGTACTGAGATAAGGAACTTCCAGCTCGAATTTCTCCACAGACGTATAGCAACGAATTCCTTTCTATCTAAAATAGGAATTTCAGACTGCTATCTGTTATTTGTGCAAACAGACAAGGAAACATTAATCCATCTTTTCTGGGAATAGTCGGTAACGAAAACCTTTCGGGGAAGGGTTCATTGTTTTTTCGTTTCAATTCATTTGATACCAGCCTCAAACGTTTTGGATATCTATGAATGTTTAGGTTTTAGAGGAGAGAAAGATGATATTTTAGTAAGCCACTGTTTGCTCCTCGCAAGGTATTATATTTATTGCTGTAAATTAAAGAACATATCTCCATCTATCAGAGAATATGCGCAACAACTGAAATTTAATTTAGAAATTGAAAAACAAATATCTATCGTGACTGATTCACAGAATAAATTTCAACAGAAGTGGAACAAAATACTTCATGCACTATAATTGCTCTATCGTTTGCGGGCGGGCTCCAAATGTGAGCCTGCTTGAAGGCTATATCTTACTCTCCTTATGCTGATCTTAAGCCTCTGAAAATCAGTTTTTGTCAAACGCTGTACTTTTGGGTTTTTTTTCAAGCTCTTACTCTTATCTATCCCACCTACAATTTAGCCCTTTGTCTTTCGTAGCAGTTAATTTTATGAATAAGTTTTTCTTCTTTTTGTGTGTAAATGGTATGCCTCTAAATATGTGTGCATTATCAGATTGTACGTAGTGTAAGTAGAAAAATGTAAGTAGCATAAATATCAATTGTATCTTAAGAGTACTGTAAGTAAGTAGTGTAACGCAATGTACGTTGAGAGTCCCGTGGAAGGAACCTTAATGTAGTCAATGTAAGTATCATGTTGTAACAAAAAAAAAAAGAAATTTATAATTGTTCTTAAAAAAAAAAGAAAAAAAAAAGAAAAAAACCTTTATTGACCTCTAACGTTCGCTATAACTTGCAACGGACAGATTTCCATCATCAACGACAAAATAATCGCGCGGCCCTCCTCCCCTCAGCCTGCCAATTCTCTCAAAAGTTTGGTTTCGGACCGCCTTTTCAAAGACACACATGTACACCGGTGGGAGAAAGGGCTGGGTGATAGTTTTTGTCGCCAGCCTGAAAATGTGAATTCGATTTCAGAACGGTCAATCGATCTCTTCTTTCCACATCTCGTATCGATAGCAAAACTATTAGGGAAGCATGAAAATAGAGTAAGCTTTTGAGGCGTTTAGAGAAGTGTAAATGTAATGATTTGTGGCATGGATGTTGGACACTAATGGACCTTAAACATGCTTGAAAATAACTGGAGAGCCATAATTGAAAGTGGAAGAAGTTTGGAGATGTTTTTGAGCTTTTTCAGCCTTGAGCGGTCTTGGAGGCTGCACAGCTCGATGATTTTGTTTTTGAGGAACGCCAGTTGAAAGGGAGGGTGGTAAAAATTAACCCTCCTAAAAAGTTACCAGATCACTCGCGACAACACAGAAAACTGAAAGTAAATGGTCAAAAGTTGAAAATTTTGGGCTTTGTGAGACATTTTCCTCGATCACTTGAATCAAAATGAGAACGAATGTTGCCAATTATAAATAATCTTTTCACGTCATGCGGCCTCAAAACCATGCGGTTGTCTGCCTGTGTTTTGCCAGACTCGCTGTCGGAGAAGACGAGAGGAGAGCATTATAGAAGCGATTTAAATCAGCGGAAATCAGCAGTTTGAGTTCCACAGAGCTTGGGAACTGGCATATACAAAGATCAAGCTGTCAAAGATGTAACATCTTACCTCAAGTCAATGCTTTTTATGTAAAGCAATCTAAACCAAGAGAATATTAAAGGAAGTCTCGTTCTTTGTTCTGCGTCTCACATCAAATAGTCATACTTGGTTCTCACTAACTGCAGATTTGTCTATTTTTGGAATTAGTGTTCTCAATTTGGTACATGAATGTCTACGTTGAATCCCCTCTGCTAGAGGAGAAGACAAAGCAATATTTCTTCAGATATGTGTAATGAAATCTTACCATGCCTCCTCCACAACTGCAACTCAGCCAGGAGCTTTGTTTTTTCTGCTGGAGCAAATCCCAGGTCTTCAACCAAGGTCTCCATTCGATCAAAACATGTATCGTACAGCACTTCTGTCCATGACACATAGTCGTAATGGGCACACTTATTTCGTACTTCAGATCTCACAAGTTCAGCTGACGGCGCTGCAGCGCTGAATGGTGGAGCACAGCAAAGAACAGTCAGAGCCGCCGAGGCATCAAAAGAGGAATCAAATGCATTGAAACGAGCCATGAAAGGCTTCATGAACAACTTAGCCAATGACACTTCATCCTTAACACGATAGTCAAAGCGACGTGTGTCTCGACCCAGGGCGGCATTATTGTTGATACTCTTGTAGTTCAGGGTGGTCGGTGGAATTTTCTTAAGGTGGGTCGAAAAGGTTTGCTTGTCCAATCTATTATTTGCCAATAGATGCTGGAAA